TCTATATGCTTTACCCCACGTCTCGATTTTCTACTAAATGTGTCTTAACATCTGTAAAATTTCTGTTTTAACTTTGTCCCGTTTTCTAATGTGGGCAACTTGCTGTCTTAACATATCACTTTCAAAATGGCATCAAGCCAATCAGATTGATCTCTACCCAATGTAGATGACGCGGCAAAATGAAAACTGAGTTTGTCAAACTACCAAGTGACAGCTAATGTTAAGACAGAGATGGTAAAAAATTTGGCAAGACAGATATGGTTTAACAGTGGAAATTTGCGGTCTCCACCTAACATTTCTGTCATACCACAGCTTTTTTAACAGAACCTGTAGAAGGTGGAGACGTGGGGTTAGTTTAAGTGTGCGGAAAATATGCGGCTTTTGATTTTTAGTGGTTCACAATTGACTTTAAACGGACTCATATGCACTAGCTACAAAAAGATTCTGATTACAGCGCGCGGAATATCATATTTTGTTCTAGTATTGTTTTGTTAAAACAACTTCCGGAGTATTTTAAGTAATAGTAAGGTTTTTAATTTGAACCCTCGTCAGTTTGGTCAATGGTAAAATAATTTTCGCTTTATTTGCTCTATTGGATTTTGCTCTATTTCTGTTTCTGATATTCAACCTTAATATTTAAGTGGTTAGGTAGGTTCGTTATTAGTTTAAATTACTTTAATTAATTATACCCGGAAAGATTTGGGTTATTTTTGTTATTTTTTTTTATTTTCATGCTAATAAAAGCATGCGTGTCTGATTTCGAAGGAGGAGAAGTTTCAACTGAAGATACTGGAAAAATTGATTTTCTTTTTTGTTCCATTCTACTAAATACTAGCTATAGAGTTTACGTAGTACTGACGAGCGAAACCGATAATTTTAATACACATTGATGTGAACTTACTTCTAACTTGATTTATCATCAGACGCGTTATTTGTTATTTATTTATTTTTTTGAAAAATCTGGAGTCAGGTTTGTTATTAATTGCTATTTCTAACAAAATGTTTAAAATATTTTTTCTATAGAATTTAGGGCTATCACACATGCCCTTAAGTACAATCAATACAAAAATAATATTTCTTGTGGCGTTAACCCTTAATTATTCGCAAACAGAAAATCCCACAACTAGTCGCATGGGGTCCCAGCGACCTCAATAAAAGTGTTGAAAAGAGTTTTCAAAATAAAAATACGAAGTGTGTATTATTAAAAAAATTAAATTACTCTATTATCGTTAACTTAAAAAAACAGAAACATAATTTCGACATAAAACTTAACAAAATAAAAATGAAAACTTCACCTCCGCCAAAAAATGTTTTGTTTGTTGCGGCATGGGGTCAGCACTCAAGCGAATAGCGGCACATGTGTACACGACGATGTTCTAGCCGTGACTAAATATATAAAACGAAATGTTTATTGTCATAAATATTAAAGTTCTTTATAGTAGTTAACTTTAAGAAAGAAAGTCATAACTTTGACTTCAAACTTAGATACAAAACTAAAAAATTACCTCCGTCAAAAAATATTACATAAGTGGTCGCATGGGGTCAGGGCTTACATTAAAGTGGTCCAAAAATGTATGTAAAAAAATAAGGTCGAATTTTTAATGCCGCCACCCCCTACGATTGTTATATACCGAAAATAATATACCCATATTTTCGTATTTTGAAATCAAAAAATATTTAGGGAGTGATCAATGCGCACAAAGTTTTCCATGTATTTTATATGGAGAAAACACAATTTTTCGTAGAAATGGTATAAAACTCTTGAAAATCAATATTTTTCGACCGGAAAACTGTGGTTCTCTTCAGGAGACTTCCAGTATTAATAGCCAATTATTTATTTAACCATTTTTTATGATAAAAGATTATTGGTCCCCCAATTGCATTTTCTAAGGGCTTTGGAGGATCTATAAAATATAGTTACCATGAAAAAATTGTTAAAAAAACAATTGGGTATTATTATTGGGAGTCTTCTGTAGATAAGTAAAGCTTTCCAATCGAAAAATATTGATTTTCAAGAATTCTACACTATTTCTACGAAAAGATGTTTTTCTCTATATAAAATACATGGAACGCTTTGAGCGCTTTGAGCACTCCCTAAATATTTTTTGATTTCAAAATAAAAAAAATTGGGGTATATTTTTTTCGATATAGATCAATCCTAGGGTGTGCCGGCATTAAAACTCCGACTCTATTTTTTTGGACCACTCTAATATACATACTTAAAAATCGGTGAAAGTGTAATTTATTTTATTGCAAAAAATCCCAAAATTCCATTCCACATAGACAATAAAAAGTGGCAAAAGTTGAACGTAATGTTTCAAAAAGTCACGGTGGTATGTAAAAAGTTGTGAATCATATCGCAAGTGTATATGCATATTTTTGTGCTATGAGGGGTTGGGGTGTTCAGAACATTTTCAAAGAAATCACCCGGTTTTGCGTCACACAAATATGGCAGCCCTAATCATAATGGACATATCGTTTTATATTCTGAAAATATAAAGTTAACTTCGTTACCACCAACCAGTTTTGATCCAAGTGGATCAAAGGTGATACATTTGCCGATGAATTTTGGAGGGACACTTCTTTTTAAATTTTGATACTTTTCCAAACGTATAAAAAAAAATCCCGTAGAAGTCGTAAAACTTGCCAGAGATGTTTAAAATTTCTTCGCACATAGTGCTAAAAGGGTGGATGAATTTGCCGAAAAAATTTATTCCGCACCAAAATAAATTTATTTATTTTTCAAAGTAAATCATATAAGTTATATAACAATTTTGAAAGTCATTATAAACTTATTGTGTATTTTTTGTCAAACTAAACTGTATGCCAAGTAACCTAGCTGATATATACGTTTGTAACTCAGATAATCATTTACCTTTTCCTATATATTGTACCGCAGAGACGTATATATCGACAGCGCATTTACGTAAAATCCAAATTAAAAAAAAAAATATTCAGCATTGTTTTATTGAACTTTGTTTGCAAATAAAAAAGAGATTTAATTTTAACAGTGAAATTTTGAAAATTTTCATGTATTGATCCATTGTCATATAAAGAAAGCGCTAAATCGACATTTTTAACTGTTTTAAAAAATTTTCCTAGCTTGTACAAAAAAGCGGCAAAGAGAAAATTTTTATACAATGGTAAATTTTGAAATTCGCCAACAAAATAGATTGCTTTGAAGTAATCGTCATTCTCAAAAGCTTCTAAGAAGCGAATTCTAAAGGGATTCACTGATGTCGTACATTTGGAGGTGATATTGAATAGGCTATTTTGAATTAACAACATTTGATACTAAATTTTTAATTTGTGACTTCAAAAACACGAATTAAAAATTGTCCACCATATTGGACTTTTTTATTCTGAGTTTGTCTTCACAATCAGCGCCATTTTGAATTTTTAAAATTTAACGTCAGATTCTTAGGGCCGGTTGCTCAAAGTCTGGTACTTAATCATCGGTTAACATCGTTATCGACGTATTCGACTCCATGCATATAACACGGTGTCGGTAACGTCGATAACGATGTTTAACCGGGGATTAGTGTCAACCAGACTTTGAGAAACCGGCCCTTAATCAGCGAACCACAAAAACCCAAAAACCCCAATCTGATAAGATTTTGAATTTTGGCAAGTTGTGATCGCTTCGCGGCCCATAGTGCAATGGTAAAAGAAAAATTAGATATAATAAAACGAGTGTATATATAGCCGCGTGGCCGCTATATGCCAATACATAAATTAGTAAGAACCACAAACAACAATTCTCTAGAAAGGGCCCAGGTTTAGAAGACGCCTATCAGCTGGTACCACTGAACTGAGTATGAACTCAACTAGTCAAATGTCGATCTATCATCGCTTGGCGTGCAATACCTCGTAAACGCCAAATGCAAATACCAGGTATGAGATTGCATAAAAACAAATCTATTTTGCTTATCCTGACCCAATGGTGTCGTAAGTGTCGTATGTATTGTTGTACGGCGTAAACTTTAAACACCTTAAAATGTATTTAGGAGATTCGCAACAAGCCATATTATGAATTTTCACACTAGGTGCATTTTTTTTGTAAGCGAGAAGAAAAATTTCCTTTTAGCTACTTAAGCAACCCTGTTGGTAGCTGGCAAGTAACATGTGACCAATTTAAATGAGTAATTATGCGAAGTATTTGCGTAATATGTATACTTATTTAAATTATAAGTCGCGTATATGAACCAATTGGAACAGATCTGACCGGTTGACAAGCATCCATTTGAGAAAAAAGTGTGTGGCGTTCGTAATTTTGAAGTTTGCTATTTCTGTTTTGTTTTTTGTTTTTTACATCTCTTTCTTTATGTGTATTCTGGCGGTGGTTAATTTCAGTGGTTTTTAAGCGATTTTCAATAAATTTTTTGTTCAAATATAATAAAAATGAAGTAAGTGCGCGGTAATCGCACTAATCGGTAATTTTTCTTTATGTTTCGTCTTCATATTCTTTGTTTATGTTTGTTTAATTTCAAAGAAAATAACATGGTGCCGAAATTACAAACATCAGCTAGAAAATTACTTTTTTCTTTTGCTTCATCTTGTCAGATCTTGTGTAGCTGGATCATAAGTCACGTATATAAGGAAACAAAAATTTCCATCTCCACTTTCCCACTAACAATTTACAATAGAGCAGTTTTTTTTTTACTTGACAACACTACCCTTCAGGTCGCATATTTTTTAACCGACCTGGCTGAACTCGGATAAATAGCCGGGACCATCCGATATGTCGCATTGCCTTTGGCGTATGAGAGGTTTTGTGCGCCAAGCGACGATATAATTTGAAAAAAAACCCACTATACTATAAGAGCTCATATTATTATTATTATTTTTTAATTTACAAGAAATATTACTTTAACAGTACTATACAAGAGTAAGTTATCAAAATCAATGTTTAAAAAATTAATTCAATTAATAGTAACTTTTGCTACTGCATTTTTTAGTACAAGCTATTTGAAAGTGATAAAAAAAAAGTCTTTACTTACTCGGTGGTCTATATATGTCTATGGCAGGTTTTCCACGCATTTGTCCATGTTGATTTGCAGCAGTTTGTACATTGAAAGCGAGACTGCGCCTTTTGTTAATATTCTGAAAAACAAAAAGGATAAGTTTTGTAAAAATTTATCAATTAGGGTGCGCTAGTGGAACTTAGATCAACAATAAACGTTTGACGTGCAATAGGCAATAGCGTTATCTAAATGAAATCTATTGTCTCTATGTTGTATGTTGTCGTTGTCTGGTGAAACAAGAAAAGTTTACGTAAGTTAAGAAGTTAGAGGGCAAAAGGCACGGTTAGAGCTGTACTTTTTTGATTCAGCTGGGAGTTCCAGACCACTCCTACTCCAACGTTTAACATTTTAAACAGGTGGCATCCCTTTTCAAAAACCTAAAAAATATCCCAAATTATAGGCACAATAATAAGCGATCCGTGTGCCAAATTTAATCTAAATCCGCTCAGCCGTAAATATTACATCATTCCTGCTTCGTCTTTTGGAATTTTAATGCTCTTACCCCTTAGTGTTGTTTTATACCGAAAAAATATACCCCTGTTTTTTTTTTTTTTTTTTTGAAATCAAAAGCCGATTAAAAGCCCATCGGTACAGGAGCAGTCCACGGGTTGTCACACGAACGCCTATATCATCCTTGTCTGTAAAGTAAAGTACGGGAAATCAAAAAAGTTCAAAGTTTTCCATGTACATATTTTATATGGGTAATTTTTTTTTTAATCGGAAAACTCTGTTTCTCGTCAGGAGACTTCAAAGAGTAATACTTTATTTAAACAGACTTGTCCGATATAAAAATATTAAATGAAGAGAAATAGAGTTTTCCGATCAAAAAATATTGATTTTCAAGAATTCTCTACCATTTCTACAAAAAAATATTTTTTCCCCATATAAAATAAATTTTTTCGATATAGATCACTTTACTTTACTGAAAAGGTGGGCTGCCCCTGTACCGATGGGCTTTGGTTTGGCGCTGACCGCAAAGCTCGCAAAGCTCGCATTGCTAAGTTGAAATCCTTTAACCTGTTAGTCGACCGAAGATGGTTAAAGGTCAGTTTATTAAGCGTGAGCTCTCGGTATCGGCAGATGTCCTGAACGGGGCGGAAAAAGGTCTCACAAAAACCATCGGCTGCTCGGAGGCGCCGTTAAACGTTTACAGCTCTTTTGAGTAATTAATTCAGACCACCTGCTTTTCTTATGGCTTATTATAATTTTCTCTCATTCAAAAATTAAATACATTCACTTAACAGCTTATATTTTATATGCACATATGTTTGTATGTATGTGGGATGCATAAAACATAAAAGAAAAGTTAAATCCCCATCGCAATTACCCACCTGTTGATTGGAGGTGCGCACAAAGCTGCGTTCTCTGAGTATGGCACCAGGTGTTATATTGGCCATTGGCTGAAAATCTGGCGATTTACGTATTTTGCGTGCATCATTATGTTGATTGTTCAGCTGTTGTGTCGCTTGTGTTTGATCCACTTTTTCAGCCATTTCAATTTTTTGTTTGTATTTAATATATTTTTGTATTTGTTTATGAGTTTTACACTGTTTGCGTTAAGTGATTGTTCACAACACTAATTTTTATACAATATATGTATGTATGTAATTTTAATTAAAGTTTCTTTGAAACTATAAAAAATCTTTGGTTTTTCCAACACAATATTTTTTTTTTCAATACAACTAATAATCATGAATATTCAGTTCAATTAAAATGAGTGTTTTAGTTTTTAAATATCACAAAGTAATTTGCATTACAAATCTAAATACAATTTAATTATATTTGTTGCTTTATATACATGGTATATTTTTGAATGGCAAATGGCCTCATTTACGGTGTAAGTGTGTGAAGAATATTTCTTGAGTCGTCTGCAAAAAAAGGAAATAAAAAACATTAGTAGAATACTGTAGGGCTTAGCAATTATTCTGCATTGGAATTAATTTTCACATTAAACTATGCATAACAAAAAATTTAATAAGATAGTAACTATGAAAAAATAATCATTCGGAAACTATATGCAATCTACATTATTGCGTTGGCATTCTAACTCGACGATCGCACCTACTCGTTGCATGTGACATTGTGGGCGGTTGTGACCAGTTAGTTTCCAGAGGGTAGCTTGTTTTATTTTTATATTTCTAATTAATTGAATAACATCCTTTCTATTGAAAGGCAAGCCGTAGAGCCTGGCCTGTCCATGCCCCACTACTGCTCCCTAGTAGTAACCTCTTATGGCTCTGATTTTAACTTGAGTGTTGTCCAACTGAAAGTAGAAGGTTCGGGTTGCAGTACTATCGAGGCCTCTCGTAGACGGACAAAAAAAATATCACAGGAGAGAACAAAAACCTTTCAAATTCACTTTCTTCAAGGACTAGTTTTTCTAAAATTTTATTAGAAGTTTTTGCGTACTCCAAGCTAAAACTACTCTAAACGAATCGAATTCCATGATGTTGATAAATAATTTTTGTATTCCTTGGGACTTATCACATTTTCTGTGACTATTTTGGACTTAGCAAATTTTAGTTTCACTGAGTAGAAATGCCTAGAAATAAAATAGGTAATCGGTATTTTAGAAAACGATGCAGTTTTGATTGCTTCTTGCATTAAAATATATTTTTTTAGAAAAAGCGGACTCTGCAACATTTCACTCTTAGCTAGCTTTATGTTAGATATATATTAATAAACTTCTTTCTAACAAACGGGGTATTCACAACGGTGTGTTAAGTGTCGTATTGTTGTACATATGTCTCTAACTCTAAACGGCTAAAACTATATTAGGGAGGTTCGCAAGTTACCATATTATGTATTTTAAAAGTGATAAAAAATAGCTGGTTGTGGTTTCAAGTCGTGTAAGCATTTATTTAAGCTTTTAAATTTTACGACACACAATAATCCGATACTTACGACTCCGTTGTGAATACCACAAATAATATATTTAATACTCTTTAACAAAGTAGTCCTAAAAACAACTATATGACCAAATTTAGGCGATTTAGTACTCAATCAGGGCACCCAACTTGGCTCGAATCGTGCAATTTTTGGCCCTGTTTTACATCAAATGGCTTTCAATTTTGCACAAAGTGCCGAAATGCCACTTTCCAAAAATAGTAATATTTTAATACGTTTTTGTGAAATCCTTTGCGTGTACTTTTCTTTCGTAACTAAAATTTTATAATTTTTCAAGATTATTCAACTGGTTTATCTTATTTTGACTTTGCACTTTTGTTTTAGAAATGTGGTTCTTCTTTTATTGCTCAATGGGATGGATTAAAAAGGATGGCACTTTTAATTTTCTATTTGGCACATTTTGGCACTGTTTTATCCTCAATATGGCTCTTCATAGCTAAGCATAGTTGGCAGCCCTGTACTCAATGCTATTGAAGAAGGGGAAAAATTTCGGAACTTTCGATGTATGTAACAGGGACGTGAACCGGTTTTGAACCGGAAAACCGCTCTTTTCCATTAATTAACTAAACCATTAACCGAACCGAAATTTTCCACAAAGGTTCGTTTCAACCAATTTTCAATAGATAAATGTACCCACTTTTTTGCTTTTTGGTAAACATGGTAATACCCACCATTTTTGTTTACCATGTGACAATATCAAATGTAAAGGCATATCATTTGACATACACTTGACCCTTAACCTTGCGCGTTGTTGCACTTGACACTTGACACTTAAACTTGTGCGTAATTTTTTTATTTTTCGAACTGTTGAACCGAACCGAACCGAAATCCCGGTTCACAGACCAAAAAAACCGCTTTGACGAACCAATCCAAAAGTGCAAAAACGGTTCGAACCGCTGAACCGAACCGACCAAGTTTTTCATCCGGTTCACGTCCCTGGTCTGTAACACTGCCAAATCAGTCGCATATATTAAATAATATATATATATGGGTGTTTCCAGCGGAAGGTCCACCACGACAAAAAAAATAAAAGTTTTATATCTAACGTATTTACGGGCCGATTTGTCTGCTTTTTAAAATATATACTGGCTATGTAAGTAGAATCATGTTTGCATAAAATGGTCTTCCTAGGTGGTGCCAAGGTCGAGATATTTCGAAAAACCCTATTTATGGTCTGATTTGGTTCGAATTTGGCGTATGTGGTTGAAACATAATAAATCATAGATTTCTAATAAATTGACCCTGAATTGGCGCTGAAGTCAAAATATAAAGTATATTCTACATAAAATACATGTTTTATTTGCGTTCAAAATTCATTTAAAAGCAATATTAACACAAATATAACGATGGAAATTTATGTGACGTAGCGTCACGTGACGTTTCACACTTAGGGTTGTAAAAGAAAATTGAAACAAGCTGCATTAATTCAAAAAACTCTAAAAACAACTAGAATTGCTCCAAATCATATCAATCATGAAAATAGCCATCCCAAATTCGCAGAGTTTTGCGATTTTGTAAGAAAAGAAATAATCAACTTCCATTTTTTGTCTCGTAACGACACACTCTTTAAATGCTTATATTTCAGGACCAAGCAGTTCGATTGANCTGTAACACTGCCAAATCAGTCGCATATATTAAATAATATATATATATGGGTGTTTCCAGCGGAAGGTCCACCACGACAAAAAAAATAAAAGTTTTATATCTAACGTATTTACGGGCCGATTTGTCTGCTTTTTAAAATATATACTGGCTATGTAAGTAGAATCATGTTTGCATAAAATGGTCTTCCTAGGTGGTGCCAAGGTCGAGATATTTCGAAAAACCGTATTTATGGTCCGATTTGGTTCGAATTTGGCGTATGTGGTTGAAACATAATAAATCATAGATTTCTAATAAATTGACCCTGAATTGGCGCTGAAGTCAAAATATAAAGTATATTCTACATAAAATACATGTTTTATTTGCGTTAAAAATTCATTTAAAAGCAATATTAACAAAAATATAACGATGGAAATTTATGTCACGTGACGCCACGTCACGTCACGTTTCACACTTGGGGTTGTAAAAGAGAATTGAAACAATTTGCATTAATTCAAAAAACTCTAAAAATAACTAGAATTGCTCCAAATCATATTAAAATAAGTTTCATGAAAATAGCCATCCACAATTCGCAGAGTTTTGCGATTTTGTAAGAAAAGAAAAAATCAACTTCCATTTTTTGTCACGTAACGACACTCTCTTTAAATGCTTATATTTCAGGACCAAGCAGTTCGATTGATTTCATTTTTCGGTTAAATATAGAGCTAATTATGTGCTATACAATGGCCCAAAAAAGTTAAAGAAAACAAATGGTATTCCTTTTTTGTATCACATTGAAATCGTACGACTGTCACGTGCGCCACCATGGGAATGCCCATATATAATAGTCGAATAACTTAAGTTAACTTGAATAAGGCACTATTGTTGTGTGTATACCCAACATACGTACATCCATGGGTATAAGTTGCCTTTAAGTTTTCCTTATAGTTTTGAGGTGATAGTTAAAAAATTACAGCCTACTTTTAATATTAATTTAGATGTCTTCCAAAAATAAAAAGTAGGGGAATCTAACAACCAGGTGTCTATCTTAACTTGGACAAGTACAATAATTTAACCGGGTGTTGAGGGTATAAACGTAATATGTATTTATAGAAATCTATATACACTCACACTTATTGCTGTGAATGCTGTGTAGGCGTTCAAGTTTATCAAGTGTTGTTTCAAATTATTTCTGCTGAAGGTGAGATCAGCTAAATCTTTCTTTCTTTTACTTATCTACCTACGATACTTGAGAACCTACTACCCATTTGCCAAATTATCGGTCAAGAGTTTGAAAGTGCATACACGTTTGTATGTACATACATACATATATTTAAGTACATTCCCTGTTGGAAAATCAAATACTTTAAAAGCAATTTAATGAGGGGACCCTTTTATTACCTACAACTGGTTAAAATGCTTTTATTTTTCTTGTAAGTAACTGACTACATTAAAATGGCGATGGATTCAGTTTTTGCGGAAATATTGCACTTTTTGCAATTTTTCAAAATAGCGTTGTATGGGAGGTGAGCGTGGCTTAATCTACTTTTCCCTATCCCGATTCCTTTAGGTTGTACAAACAACCGTTATGCGTACAAAGTCAGTCCGTAAATAAGAGTGCACACGTGCCCTCGGGTATACAAATAATAGTCGAAAAGTCGGACAAAGTAACATATTTCCAAAAAAAATTGTTAATTAATTAATTTTTTAAACTGTCTCTTTAATTCCGATAGGGATTATACACATATATGCATATACATATACATACATATTATTAGATTGGCGCTAAGACATATGTTGTGGTTGGCCGAGCTTCTCCTCCTATTTATGGAGTGCGCCTTAATGTTGTCATACAAAGGGGAGGGTCCTACAGTTTAACGCCGACTCCGAACGGCGACTGTAATTTTCTGAGAAGCTATTTTTCATGGAAGGAATATACTCGAATGTTTGCCATTGCTTGTCTAGTAGCGACCGCTATTAGAAACAACTTTTTTTTGCTTTTAATTTTTTGATACTGGATTGAACCGGCCTTGAATCTAGGCCCTGCGGAATGGTAGCGCGCACTGCTAATCACTATCCCACAGGGGCCGCCAACATATGTATACTACCCAGTAGAAACTCATGCATACAACATGGTGGAATGTACTTCCGTTTCCATTTAACACGTTTGGTAATTCATGCTTATAAAATTACTAATGCTGCATTAATGAAACAGTATTAGTGCTGAATTAATACAATAGCAGTAAAATTCTTATATTATCGCACAACACGTCCGTTAACTAAAATTTTTCCACAAGACTGAGAATATACAAAAATTTTACGATGCTTTATAGTAGTCAAATTTATCAAGAAATGTACTTAAAAGTACGTTCGCTTGCAG